AAATAGTTTAACCTGCCCTTTGACCTGAAAATATGTTACTACTGTATTCTATACGCTACTCATACGCTGAGTATTCTATTACCGTATTCGCACATAACAGCCATTGATATACCTACCTAATTCCTTTGCGCTGCAGTTTTCTGTGGTGAAAATGTAGCCACTCATAATATCTAATCAAACTGACAATATCTAATCGAAGTGGAGCTGCGGAAGGGCGGTCATATCTAATCAACATTCCAGAGCACAGTCTCTGAGTGTCGATTAGATAGGGATACCAACTCGAGATTCCATACAAAATCGGATACCTGAAAGGCCCTTTCTTCGAGGGCTTGCATGGCAGTCAAGAAGGTTTGATGAAAGTGAAGAGCCAGCAAGGTAGCAGCCATTTCAGCTATAGAACAATATGACAAAGGTGACAAGTACGGCGTACTAGTCGTAGACCACTGTCCAGTCAAAGATATGAGTGCTTACTCGCTACCCTACATTGATTAGATATGAGTGTCTTTTCGCAGCTCCACTTTGATTAAATAGAGTGCCCTCCAAACTACATATTCACCGTTTTCTCTACCTACTTACACGTTTATCTCTCTATTTAGGTAGCCTTGTTTTATTATTGACACACATATAAACAACTTATCTTATGCTTTTATCCTTTATAAACAACTTACTGCAGTCATTCCCAAACAATGAAGATGCCTCAGGGAAGTGGTTACAATGGTTCGTATGATTAAGAGGCGAAACGAACTATCTCTAGTATTTATGAATTATGTCGTTTACATTTTTTCGTCTATTATTAGAAGAGAAACAAACCTACGAAACCACACTCTATGGACGGTCAAGGGTAGGTCAGGCGGAAACAAGGGAACCCATAGAAAGAACTGCACCATGGGGCATCCAATCAAGCGGCGCTGATTGGAGGAATGGGGTTAAAACGTTCGAATTTGGAGAGCAGGGACAAAACGATTGGTAGCATAGGGTGCAGTATAAGAGAGAGAGAGAGAGAGAGATGTTATTGCCACAGGTAGGAAGACTAAAATCTGATGCCCATCCAGAACCTCCCGCTCATTGTTGGGTGAATGTGTCTTCCTGAAATTCAACCTTGTTACTACAGTTATGTTCCACACTGTAGATGCACACAGAAACTCAAATGGCCAATAGACGGTGGTTGTTAGCCTATTTTGTCTTGGGTTGAAATATACTTTTATACCTACATACATATATTGTATATTTTTATGTTACGAACACCGCTTCATTACAGGTTCTTCCTCGTCCCCCTCATCATAGCAACAGAACCACAAGGGGCTTTGGCGGACCCACTCAGGCCTCGCCATTATGGCCCATCTCTCGTGTAGTTTCTCACGAAGCCATATGGA